GTAACCTATGCTCATATGTCAGGTTCCCAGTATGGAATTATCTCAAGTCCACTCTCACCCAGCGTTATCTTCAGAAGTAGTCTGAGACTGCGATACTCTATTCCTCCCAGAGCTTCTCTGTCTTCAGGGGTCAGGTTGTAGAACTTTGAGTTTCTGCCGAGACTGGCTTGTGAGGAAAGTTGCGGCAGCTCCGGGTCTTTAGCAAGCGGGATGGTTTTCCTAGACTGTCGCTCTTGAGATCTAGAGGGATAAGATCCAAGCACAAACATCGACGAAGCAACACGCTCCAGCGGGATGCCGCTGACCAAAGTTCGTTGGCGAGCTATATCGGTCTCGTGATCTTCATCTTCGGCGCGATTGGAATGGTCTGATATTGGCGCAGATGTATTAGTGTTTATCTCTCTGTTAAGATATGGAGATCATACCGTGGTCGTCTATCTCCGTGATTGCATGACCTAGACCCTGTTAGCCGGGACTGAGTTACGCAACTCAAACCAGCAATTACCTCTATCGCGTTCGCGCGGTGAGGGTATGTGCAAAGCTTTTGAGTCGTCTGCAAAGGAGATTTGTCTGTGTTTGATTGGGTTCTCGCCGTCGTTGTTGTCATTGTCCGAGACGATGCAATCATGTTCCCTGAGAATTTCCTCCTTGATGCTTAAACAACTCAGTCGGAATTAAAACAAGTTAGTGGAAGTACTCACTTATCCAGCTTCAACTGATTGTCAAATAAAGCACTCGAGTGCATCTGCACTGTATTGGCTTCTGAACATCGATCGGCATTGAACTTGGCTGGTTGCGCTTCTGCATCTTTCGAGGGCGATGATTCTGATTGCAGAAGAGTAGGCGCTTCACGAAGTTAGCAACAAGGAAACCTAGATCAGATTGTAACCGGATAGATGAGCTGTAACACATACCCAGTTTTTTCAGACGCTTCTCGAACCAGTACAGTCGCACAACGACCACTATAAGATTGATGAACCCAGCGTTGGCCACAATCGGAACAAAGTACAGGAATAGCTGCTGATAGGTCTTCAGCTCCTTCACGTCAACACTATTTTGTTCAATTCTTATCAGTAAGTGGTCTCTGTGAATTTCAGAGTGAGGTCAACAAACGGGTTCAGTCCTGATTCTGTCGAGGAGCTCACTCCGAAAAGGTAGGCATCGACTGCACTGAGGTTACCATATGGGTAGAGGATAACAATCCCTAAGATGCCCAAAGTAACGATATATGCATCTTATTCCTGATGAGCTTGCATGAAATGATGTAAATCAGATAAGGTTAACGCACAATGTAAGGTTATGAAATTAAGTGGTGGCTTCCACATTCCTAGCTCTCAATATGGATCTCGACTGCAGCTTGATATATTACCCTCCCGTCGCAACCAGATCGCCGATATTTGCAGGGTCAAGTCTAGGAACCAATGATAAGCTGAATACTCTTAGAACTTTTTGTTTCGCTCAATAAGTACCCCTGAAGTAGAAGGTTAATATATTGGACTCACGCCGGATTCGCCCATCTAAAGCTTTATACTATAGGGCGCTTTAGCTGAGGGATTTGCCAGGCCAATCCGAAGCTCACCAAACAGCAACCCCACGCAACTATGAAGCTCCCCTGCGTCTATAAAGCTTCAGATGTACGAGGCAATTATCTTATCCACTGGTTAAGGATGTGGGAATACGAGCCCTCAAGATATTTTTACTGAGCCACCGCCATCTGGCTGGAAATGATGAGATCAGAGAGTCGCAAAGGACGATCTGTCAGCCTGCGAGACCTGCTTTTACCTATCACAACTTTTACGACACGAAGGCGTCAGAAGACCTGTTCAGTTGACTTTTTGATACTAGGGAGTCGGTTTGGTCTACCCACGCCAAGGAAATATTATGCTCTCTGAAGAACGGGGTTAGGATGACTATCTCGCGAAAGTGCCCTGCAAACTCCCAGGGATCGGCTGAAGTGCATAAGTCAGATTAGACACGTGGATATTATTGACCCTTGAGTAGCTATTATTATTCCCAGAAGACCAAGACTTCTTGTATGCAACCCCTGCTCAACTACTCATAACAGTGGAAGGCAGCCACAACCAAGGCAATGATCTGAGATAAACTCGGCAAGACCTTCTTGAATAGGTTATGATAGGCGTGTCCATTCAAACGGTTTTGCTTTTCTAGTCTGGGCTAAACTGGTTGTGTATGTTGTCTACATCTTCGCAGCAATCGCGCTACCACCGTCCACAGTGATCGTCGCACCATTGATGTACGCACCGGCCCGACTGCTGAGGAAAAGGCAAGCACCAGCAACATCTTGAGGCGTGCCAATACGGCCCAGTGGGTTAGCACCTTCGATAGCATCCCGGAATTTCTCCAAGGTGGCGGCCATCATCTTGCTCTCGAAGGGACCGCACGCCAGAGTGTTGGATCTGTCAGAAAGCCATATTAGTAGTCTTCTTCGACGCACGTAGTCAGCACAAGGTGTACGAACGTGATATTCCTCTTGCCAAGGTGATGTGCGAGGACACGGCTCAGATGATGCAAGCCAGCCTTGCTAGCACTGTATGCGAACGTCTCTAGAGCCGGTACTCTGAGCCCATCAATGCTACCGATGTTAATTATGCGAGCCGGATCATTCGGCGCACCAGCTTTCTCGAGAAGGGGCGTAAGGAGCTTGGTAAGATCAAAGACTCGTTGAAGGTTCAGAGTGAGGACTCGGGTCCATGCAGATGAGGGATATTCATCGTAAGGAGCACCCCAGTTTGACCCGGAGTTGTTCACGAGGACATGAAGCTCTGATAGAGCATGGGATTAGCCTTCCGCCTGAGCAGGGCTCCCAAAACCAACTTACTGCTTTCGCGCTTGGCAATCTCCTCAGCTAGCCTCTTGCATTCCTCCTCCTTGTAGAAGTCCGCGGGAATAGCATACGCCTTTCCCCGGCCAATAGCATTCAGCTCCTGGACGGCCTTCTCGCAAGCCTTGGCATCTCGAGACGAGATATAAACTGTTGCGCCGTTGGTGACGTAACCTTCCGAGATCATACGCCCAATGCCTTTGGCTCCACCGGTGACCAGCACCACTTTGCCCTACATAATTGTTAGCAATATGCAAAATGATGGTGCATAAGCGAAGAGCACCGATACTAACCTGCACATTGAAAAGAGACTGGGTATCCATTGCAATAGTGTCAAAAATGAGATTCTAGGGCGGAAAGGGAAAAAAATGAAGGAAATAAATTCCGAAGAATGTTTCAACGGAGACTTGTCTTCACCATGGTCGAGGCGAGGGAAGCCCTCCTCATATAGTCTAGCTACGATGCTTATCCGACGACCGAGATACTGTTGCACGGCTTGGCGGAGAGTACCGAGGCTGTTCGGAGCAGGAACAACAAAAGCACCGACACGTAGACGCTATGCCTAATCTAGGAAAATCCAGGGCCGGTCTGGGCGCTTGTGCGGGGAGGGGCGAGTGCTGTTTTATGGTTATTCTTTTGAGTTGCAGTTGTTCTACAGTTGTATGGCGTTGGTCCCATAGATGGCATTATCGATTTCAGCATCTCTTAATTGATATCATTTACATTCTCGCATATTTTTCTCGGTTTATTCTTGGTCTCATACCCCAAAATCATAGATTTTCCGCTTTACCTTGATTTTGCCTGCGTTTGTCTAAAAATGGAAGAACTATTAGCGAGACATCGCAAGGAGCAGAAAGATCTGCAGGCGCGCATTACGCAGAAGAAGAAATCAGCTACAAAGAAGACACGTCGCGGAATCAACGAGGAATGCGAAAGGCTGCAACGAGAGCTCTCCGATCGTCACCAAGCCGAAATTGCAGCGCTCAACGGCGAGCCTATCCAGCCAGTCAATGGCTTCGAAGACCTTAGTCTTCGCGATCCCGATGTCGAAGATGCAGATACAGTAGAGAAACCCACATCAAGTGTTACACAAGATACAGACAGCCTCCCGGAGTCTTCAACGATCGACTCGACCGCAACCTCCTCACCTGCCTTCGCCCCGCGTACGAAGAAACCGAATCGACAAAAGGCTCGTCTGGCACGTCGGGCAGCGGAACAGGCGGCTCAGTCGGCGCTCGCCGCAGAAGAGGCCGCGAAACAGGTTGACCATCGTAGTAACGAAAAGGAGGTGATGGAGGCTGTTTACAAACGACTGGGCTTGAAAGAGGTGGAAATCAACCCAGATGGGCACTGTTTATATTCAGCTATTGCCAATCAGCTGGAAGAATCAGGGCTTGGGCTTAGGCCTGATCCACAACGGATAGTCATTCAGCCCCAGACACAGTCTCGGATTGATACGGTTGCTTCGCCCAAACATGATGGCTACAGAGCGGTTCGAGCAGTGACAGCGGATTTCATCGTCGAGCACAAGGATGACTTTGAGCCCTTTATGGAGGAGCCGTTGGATTCGTATACCCGGAAGATCAAGCTTACGGCGGAGTGGGGAGGACAGCTAGAGCTGCAGGCAATCGCTCGGGCGTATGGAGTTGATATTAATGTCATCCAAGGCGATGGCAGGATAGAGAAGATCGAAGCCGGCGATATGGATGGGATTGATGAGGAGGAGAGACACAAGCGGGTCATTTGGTTGGCATACTACCGGCATACATACGGGCTGGGAGAGCATTATAATGCCCTTACGAAACAATCATAGAGCAGCCATTCTAAAGGGAGAAACATGCGATTTGATATCTGGTTTTCGAATGCGCTAATTGCTCTTAAGCATCTCAGAACGTTGTCGGGGTCCCGGATTACGGCACAAAGAACAAAAGGATTGATCAAACTAGTTCGGGCGGCGCCATATCGACACTCGGTCTTGGATCTCTCCCTCAACGATCCCTATCTCATGCGTCCGAGCTGGTTGCCAATATGCCTCTCGCTCAAGCCCCTGTGGACTTGGCGCTTTTGATGGGTCAATGCTACATTGACGGTTTGCATCATATGGGATCTCTTCGCCAGGGTGGTTCAGATGTGCCATATAAGCCTCGGACGTAGAGGCTCATGGAGGGCCCTGTAGTGACGTATCCTTGTGCCTTGGAAACTCAAGGCAAATGAGATGCCCACGCGGCGAATCTGCCAGAAGCTGGGTGTGCCTGAGCGCCCATTGCGGACGCATTGATGGGTCCAAGGCGCAAAAGAACTGTCAAACACATCTGTTTAGCGAGAGAAGCACAGTACTGCGATAGGAGCTAACTGAACTCTGCTCCTGACAAAGAAGATAGAAACCAGGCCCCGTGCACTGTACAAAGGACTTCTGAGATCCACATACCGTGTAGTCGTAGATCAAATCGAACGAATTCCGAGGCAATTGCAGTTTCTCCAGCCAAGTATCCTTGAAGAAATCACCCTGCACGAATGTGATTTTGCCTTGCCCAATCTCCGCATCTCGTACGGGATACTTATCCCCATTCTTCGCCTGTTCCTCTTTACACACCTCAACGGCAGTAGCGCTATATTCCAGGCCATAGGCGTCATACCCGAAACTGGCCAGGAGAAGTACATCGACACCTCTTCCGCACCCCGGGACTAACGCCTTCTTCCTGTAGGTGTTGCCCTGCGCACCTCGGCCAATGGGGTCACCGATGATATCGCGCTTCTCGATCAACGTATCCTCCAATGCTGGGTTGGGAAATCCTCTGTCAAAGGGGAGAGGTTTACCCCCACTCTTATTCCAGAGCTCAGCCCATCCTTCAACGTAATTTTCCTTGTATTTTGCTATGAATTCCGGGATACTGGAAGGGAGGTTGGGGTCGTTCGACATTCTTGATTCAGTGAGATAAAATGGAGCCTATGCTGGTTTGTCCTTCACGTTGCTCGAAGGCAGCTCGTCCGCGAATCAAGGCGCGAAGCCTTATATAGTAAGTATGAGGCGGGGTAAGTTATGGTTCTGGGAAGCCCGAGTGAACGGTTCGGTGACTTCGGCCACCCAATTCTTCTCCAGGATTTCAATCGGCGATGTCTCAAATTCTCTCGTAATGACTAATGATTTATAAGCCAGGCGATCAATCCTATTGCTTCTGTAGAAGGAAATCCTCATATATGCAAATTGTACTAAGAACTTGGCTGAATATTTTTGACGTAGCATGTCACCTTTCGGCAGCGAATGAAGACCGGTCAGTGATCGGAAAATAATCTCGGGCAATCTTGAGAGTATCACGCAATATCAACATACACAAGAAGCCGATTTATGCTGGAAAGCAGGTCATCGAACATGCATAGGAACAATCGCAGAGAATTATGCCCCGGAACGTGCGAAAATTGCAATATTTCCAAGCTTGAGGAGACAATGGGATCCACTGCTACAAGATTGTGAGTCAATCATTTTACACTGCAGGAATCGCCATCCCATCGCCTCTGGGATCACTTCCCGCACTGTAGACCAATTGGCCATCGTCGTGATGACAGCGAATGATCTGACCGCGACCAAACATTCCCCTCTGCCACCCGGTCAGAACCTCGACTTGATGTCCGAGCCGCTTGAGGCCTTCAATGGCTTCGTCACTGATACCCTCCTCGATATAGACTGTCTGATTGCCAGGCTCAGAGTCAGCCGCGATACAGATCCGGGGAGCATCCAGCGCTGCTTGGGGATGATAGTTGAACGCAAGCATGTTGAGAAGGACCTGGACATGGCCCTGTGGCTGCATGAAACCACCCATGACACCGTAAACAGAGTGAAGCGAGCCATCTGAGCAATTGGTGATCAGCGCAGGAATGATGGTGTGGTACGGCCGCTTTCGTGGAGCCAAAGCATTAGGATGACCTGGGTCCAGAGAGAAGTTGGCGCCGCGGTTCTGGAGTGTAAAGCCACAACCTTTGGGGATGATCCCACTACCGAATCCAGCATAGTTACTATTGATGAAGGAAATACCGTTGCCCTCTTCATCAGTCACAGCGAAGTAGACCGTATCGCAGTGATTGTGAGCTGGACTACCGTGATCGACGATGTCTGCCGCTTTCTCCGGGTTGAACAGCTTCGCCCGTTCGGCCAGGTACTCCCTGGAGATCAGCTCTTTCGACGGTACCTTTTCGACATCTGGATCCGTGACCCACCATGAAGCATCAGCGAAAGCAATCCGAAGACTTTCAATAACAGCGTGAAGGTACTCTGTCGAGTTGTGCTGATCCTCGGTAAATACGGGGATCTTTCCCGTGCGTTCGAGTTCCTCAAGGATACCCAGGGCCATGAGAGCAACGATGCCTTGGCCGTTGGGTGGATGCTCCCATATTTCCACCCCTTGGTTTGCTTCATCGTCTGTTCCAGGGGTCTGTTTCTTGACAATATCTTGGCCCGTGAATTTGAGTGAGATAGCTTCAGTATTTTGTGTTCCCGTCTCAGCATGATACTTAAGATCGTCCAGGGTCATATAGCCACCCAAGTCCTGGACGACCTTGACCAGCTCTTCTGCAACTTCGCCTTCATAGAACCCCTTCTTACCCTCCGCAGCGAGCTTTCGGAAGGTGTTTGCCAAAGTCGGATTCTTCATAATCTCACCAGGAAGGGGGCTTCTAACACCATCTTTGGCTTTCGGATCAGGCTTGAGCATTTCCCGAAAATTCGGCGATGCATTTCGTAGCAGATTTTCGCTCTCACGCCACTTGAAAGCAGTCAGAACAGTACATACTACAAATTCCGGACAAATGAAAAAGAATAGACTTACAAAGTAGGAGGATAGTTCTGACACCGCGAATCCTCGCTCTCCCAATTCAATTGCTGGCGCAAGAATCTGCTCCAACGACAGCTTGCCACTGCCAAATCTCTCCACTGTGTCTACCCATCCAGCAGCTGCGCCGGGGGTAGTTACCGATAGGACGCTGGTCTTTGGGATGCTCCTCTTCTCATTGGCACCAAGCTTCAAATCCTTCCTGATCTTTTCGAGCGTCGCGTTGGCGGGATATCGACCAGAACCGTTGAGTGAATGGACTTTCTTTGACTTTGCATCATAGAAGAGACAGAACATGTCACCACCAATCCCGGTCGATGAAGGCTCGGTGATATTCAATGCGGCGGCTATTGTTGAAACGAGTCAAACCTGCTTATCATCGCTTATTGCAATCAGCACTTACCCACTGCTACAGCAGCGTCCTGGTGAAACATGATGGTCAGCGAAACTGATGGCCGAAATAATGTCCCATGCACACATACCGCAGCATTTCCTCCTTCCCTCAAGATTCTATGACCCGCAGCGGCCGCCAGAGGTTGAGTACATGTTACGATGCCTTTGGTACTGTGGACAGTACTCCGTCTACTGGCAAACGGGACAAAGTCCGGGTTCAGTCTGGAATAAACAGCGTGGGAGTTGAGGGGCATTTTGAAGAGAAACAACAAGGGCAAACAAGGTGCAGTAGACAGTGAGATTGATCTAGAAGGAGACGGTGACTAAACGATGAGGGGAGGGTGACTCTTAAGTAGGACAACAAATGAAGACTCATACATACTAGGAACTACTATCGGGATGCTCCGCTCCTTTACGCCGTGCGCTCGAATACAGCCGTAACCTTATCATTTATTGGGGTAGGCTGAATTCTGGAGCAGCTTTTCGACACCTGTAGCCCAAACAGAACATACGCAAAGTTTATTAAGATATGCCATGCTTGAAGTATCTTCCTGTCATCATCAATACCATCCATCGCCCGCATCAGATGCCTCGATTTTGCTTGTTCTCGCCGAAGCGTTGGACATCTTGCCGAGGAAAACAGAGATGATGGAGAAGTTGGGGTCACCTTCCTCTTCGGGAATGAGGGGCAACTGTACTGCTTCGGGTTTAGTGCGGGAGAGATACGCGTGACTCTCCGATAAGACGAAGGGACGCTTGGCGTCATATCATAACCACCGAGACGCTGATGCTCCGGATAACAAGCAGTATTGTCATAGAGACTGTGTATACAACCGCCCAAAGGAATCTGTGTCACGTTTAAGGTCTTCCGTTCGCCTTCGGCTTGTCCATTCCCGAAAACGAACCACGAATCTGGCGCCCCGTCGCCCCGCACCGACAACGGAGCGATCGTCCTCATCCGCATCATTCCACTGTATATTCTGCACGGATGGCTGCTATACAAAAGTGACAGCCTTTCCCTATCAGCGGTGCGATAGCTGTCTATATTGTATTTGAACTTTCAATGGTTCTTCTGCTCCAGACTGAGTCTACCATCTGTGGGGCTGCCTCGAGCCGAGCGCGTCCTCCTCCCTTCTCTTTGATGGCATAATGGTGGTATTTGTCGATTATGACCATGATGTCTTCCCCGGAGCCCATGATGGCACATATCAGGCGTACCTTCAGCCAGATAAGCCTGCGCTGTCGAAGTTAAAGGCCATTGGCTCTGATCCGCCAACTCTTGCTGGCAATGATCATTCTGCTGGTTCGATGCACGATCATACAAAAAATGACGGCTCTCATGAGATACCGAATCGTAATGGATTTTCAGCTGCTTTGAGCTGCTATCCGTATGCCTTGCTGACCGACAATTTCTGCCAAAGTCATTTGGGTGCTGACTGAACCTGCAGAATCGTCAAGGAAATCGCCCGACAAGTCGATCTCAATACACTCTATGCCCTCTCCCGAACTTGCCGTCAGTTCCATGCCAATCTAACACCATATCGCCATCAGCTGGTGAAGCAGACCCTTCGTTGTGAGAACGAGTATGTTGAAACTTTGTCGGATCTCTTGGATGGCAGGGCGGCTATTCCTGACAGCGTGAGATCTGTGCTCCGGCTTGTGAGTCAGGGCACCCTGACTGCCGGTAGACTGGTTAGGGGCAAGGTTGGTAGATGTGCTCGGGATATGGTAGCAGAGTGCCGGAGATGCTCCAGGATCATATGCAGGGTAAGGCCGAGTGAAGCACGTGTCATTGCGGAGCTCGACTAATGTCGTCCACAGAATTGCACCATCAAAACCCCTCCCAGAAATACCCTCAAAGATCGCGTTCGTCGCCTGTGCACCACCTGCCGTACGGCACCCTTGGCCGCCCATCTTACCCGGAGTCCCTCCAGTATAACTACTTCTGAAACGCAGGTGCCGCCAGACCTTTCGAGTTTCACAGCATCAGCTTTTATACATTCACCATGTTCGTGCGAAGAAATGGTATGGCTTTGTTATCCATGTGGCAAGACCCTACGCAGTAGCGACACTACTTACCGCCGTGTGTGGACTTGGCGCACTCGGTATAGCACATATCTTGGAGGCCTAGGCACCGGGATTGGTGAGGGATGTCAAGGGGTGAAATGCGGAAGGGAAGAGAATTGTTTAGCTGCTCAGGAGATTGAGCTGGAGGTGGAGTGTGAGGCGGACGAGTCGTCAGCCTCAGGAAGTCCACACAACCATCATCAGGGCAATGCGCACGCACACGGTCACCTCAGTCCTCAGGATGAACTGCTCCGGGATCAGTCCTTAGAAAGAAGTAACAGCCGTGATGAAGAAAAACCGGGGTACTTCAGACAGGAAATCATTGGGATAGGTGGACGAGTCAAGCAAAAAGCGAAGAAGCGCGTCACTGTCGGAGCTTGTGTTGTGGAGTATGAGGATGAGCGTGATACCGGCCAATATTTGACTCGAGAAGAGCAGGGATTGAATCGAAGCTGGTGCAGCTGGTGCTGCAGGGTTATCCCATCCAAGGATGACCTGGCTTATCCATTGTCTATACATTGATGCATAGCTGGTCCTTAGCGTATATTAGCTCGGGTATATAGGGAACGGCATTGAAACATAGTTTATACTTTCAATATGGAAAGTGAAGGTTTCGTCGCACGCAGATACGATTACA